AAGTGGCCATTTTTAAACTTCTTGTACCAACTTCTTGATGTGCTATTAGAGACAATGAATGGTGCTATCGCATCGCATATTCCCCCTGTCGCTCAATTTGGATTAACGTTTTTTCTGAACTTATGAAGAAAAGATAGTCTGACTAGCTTTGAGTCGAGAGCGATTCTTGCAGCCATAACCGTTGCGAAATGCGACGGCAGATATGGTGTGGAGAGCACATTGTTCTGCACTTGCACATATTCCGCAGTGAAGGCTCATGAGCAATCCTCAAAGATTACACAACATGGAAACCAAAATGCGCAAATACTTTTCCGACAACCTAATAGTATCTACCGGTCACAGGCACCTGAAGTTGTTTTTACGGAGAGAGGCAATCTATAATATAATAGAAGTATTGCAGCAACCTCGACCAACATCTGGGTATTGCCATTTGTAGAATGGGGTATGAACCAATCGTACCTATATCCTATCAGTATTATCTAGTCAAAACGAGAAGAAGGGACGAAATAGCTGGTGTTGGCCAATGATCGGAGACCATTCGTATAATCAGCCAAATGTGTAGCCTTACAAATACGCTTGTAACTCCGACTGAAAGCCACGTGCATGGCTCACGCCAGGGAAATCGGTCGACGTCGACCTGTGCAAACAAACACTCACGATTTTCCTATTTTAGGCCTCTGCCACTGTCCATATCAAATCAACGGAGACATATGCAAGTTGGTAATCATAAATGTTAGACATTAGGAAAACTTACCTGGTTACTACCATAGGAGACAGCTGTAAATCAGAAAAGTTCCATGGAGTATCTGGAAAGTTGGAGGTTGGGCAAAGATCAAAAATTTGGGTGATCACCTGAAAGTATTTCGATATTTGATCGTACAGGCCAGGCTCGAAAGTGCCAGTGCCCGCTAGTCATTCGTTCTCTGCGTCCCCATTTCGTCCCTTATTTCCATTGTACTTCATAATTATACGTTGTTCTACAGATATGCTCGTAACAGTTATGGTTTTATGCTTGTAGAACCTTGTATTATGTACAAGAATGGCGAGTTATGAGCTAAATTGCGGCCACGGACAGGCCTCGAATACTTCTTTGTGCTATCCAGGCACATGTTTGTTATTCTTTTGTCCGGAGCAAGTTTTGTTCATAACTCTCCAACCTTTTGAGACTTTTGGATGGCGTACTGCGGTGACAGTAGTCAACAAAATGTCAGGTCAAAATAGTGTACAAATTATTTACGCTGAAGTAATCACATAGGGATTATCGATTACCGTATTATGGGGATTTTATCGTTTATTTCTGGAGTACACATATTTTTATAGAAACAGAACTCAGCTTATATCACTTAAAATTTCACGTCATATATTGCGACATTCTGTACTTTTCATGGTTTATTTTTGCTTTTATTTACTTTTATAATCCTCAGAAATACCTTGAAAACTGCTATTACGAAAATTTATTACAGCTACATATATATAAATCGTAAATCAACACAACTTTGAAAGCATCAAAAACCATTATGTATGGCTCGTTCCTTCGTTGAATTTCACTGCTGAGACTCCAGGTGGAGATGGGGTATGTGGAGCACTTTGGGAATATCTGGCGCAGTCACTGTAAAACATTTCAGAACCAAGATAGGAATTTCGACCGTAGCCCTGCCCACTTCGATAATTGGTCCCTGATTCTTTAATAGCCTCTGTTCAATTTTCTGCACTATAGAACCTTTTTGAACAGAGATATGAATTTTTGATCCTAATTCCTCCCACCTCTGTGCAAACTCTGCCCACTTTGGTGACTAGACCAAGTTTGATCCATAACCTCTGACCACTTTTTTCGCGATTTGGGACCTTTTTGAACAGGTTTATCATATTTTGTCTTTAGCCCAGCCCATCTCAATGCAAATCCCTCCCACTTTTAGGATCCGCCCACATTTCTTAATAAACCCTGACCACTTTTTCCGAGCTTTAGATCCTTTCTGGGCGAGGCTGTGAGTTTCGGACCCTGGCTCCGCCTTCATCGGTGCAAACCCCGCCCACTTTGAAGATTGGACCAATTTTCTTCGATAGCCATTCACCACCTTTTTTCGGCGCACTAGGGCTCTTTTGGACAGATTTACGAATTTTTTACCCTAGCCACCCTAGTGCAAACCTTTCCCACTTCGTTGATTCGACCACAATTCACTGATAGCCTCTGACCACTTTTTTTCCGCGTTCTAGAATGTTGTTAAGAAGGGTTAAACATTTTTTTAAAAAACACCTCAAGTTTGTATGCACGCCTCGCCCATCGTGGGCGGAGCTTCGCTTAGTCTACGCATGCTGGGCATGCATGAGGCCTTGCTCATTCCTTTCGTTCTTTTTGTCGTCCGCGCCCTCAACGAACCATGTTAGGAGGTTATGGAGGAAGTACCGCCCATTGCGAGGACGTTTCTCCCACCGCCCATGAGTCTCCTTCTTCTACTTTGTTGAGCCACTCCTTACCTTTACCCATTTTTCCCCGATGTGTAGCCTTCTTACAAACCAAAAAAATGATAATTGTTTCTTGGAACTGTCGATGACATCGGTTGGCCATCGCAAACCTGAGTGTAAACCACACACGCATCCAAACCGCCACTACGATTATGAATGGAAGTTCATTGCGGCGGCGTATCCACTGACTCGACTGGCTAACATCAAAGGCTGTCCGTTTATTACACCGAGACTTGTGTCTCAAAGGAGAAGCTAAAAAGTCGCATCACCAGATTACGGTAGTGTGGTACAATTTCTTCATAGGATATGGATGATAAGAAGGAGTTCATCTTCAAAAGAATAATTATAAGCAGGTTTCCAACACTCTAGCAACATCTCATTTTTTGGTGATTTTCTCCTTCCTGTGAAGGAAACATTTTTCTTGAGTATGGTAAAAAATTTTATTTTTTAAAAGGTGAATTTCCATTTCGATTCGCTTTACGATTTCCCATGGACTTTGACTGTGTAACTACCAACCAGCTAAGTAACTCGCTGAAGTATTAGGTTACATGACAGTTCTGGTCTTGTCTCCTGTTTTCAACTCGAATTTTTCTTATGCACAATGAAAATGTGAAATTAGAATTAGTGCGTGTTCGTAGTATGGAGAGAACACTGCTGGGACAAGCTTCCTAATACTGCACGAGCCTCGTGCCTTCCCTGTAGGCAAACCTGCGGGAGCTTTCAAAATAGGCTTAGTGAATTGAACTAGAGATTGAAAGGTGCTGCGAATGCATTGTTTATCACCCCATCTTTACGTTTTCTGGCGTACTGCGTGTCATTTGTATTTGATATAGATGGTGAGGTTTCATTTTCAGTAAATTACCATACAATGATCAAGCTTGAACAAGAGGCTGACGGCGGCAGCTCTCCTCTTCAATCGGTAGGTACTAAGAGAGGTCAGAATTCACTCGATGGTCCTACAAGTAAAAGACCACATGTTGAGGGAGATGATAGTAAGTTCCGCAATCGCATTTTTCGCACTATTTCAAATCTTCGCCTTTGTGATATGCAGATGAAGTGGCTGTGAAGATATTGATTCCGTTGGCAGCGGTGGGAGCAATTATTGGCAAAGGTGGTGAGGCGTTGAGAAAACTGAGAAGCGATCATCAGTGTCGTATCGAAGTGAGCAAAAGCTCAGAAACATACCCAGGTATGCATTGATATCATTAATCAAAAGACTCTATACATAGTAGTTACGATGAGCGATCATTAATATCCTTCAAATTCCTATTTAGGTACAAGTGAGCGTATCTGTCTAGTGCAAGGACGCGTTCATGATGTTCTTGGTGTCATTGAAGTGATACTGCAGAAGATTAATGAGAAATGCGAGGGATCCACCTATTCTGATGCATTTGATCACAAAGTAGTTAGCCATGGAAACGAGGTTTGTTTTGGGTGTTCTGAAACAGTCTTCGAAACATTCACAAAAAGTCCACTTTTTTTGTTTGGCAATGCTTTCGAGCCTTCCTTAACGCTACTTACTTGTGCATGCATAACATATGCGAAGATTTCGTAATTTAAAATATAGAAACTGCTGTTTTCCCATTGAGAGGTGCTTTTGAAAGTGGTTCGAAACCGACTGTTCTGATAGAAAACGAAGTTGAAATGTTGGGATGTATTATCACGTGTTTCTAGAGTTATGAAGTGTTTCGCGTTGCCAATTAAAGTTTTTAGTTGGTGAAAGAGGATTGCGTATTGCTTACAAGTATCACCTGTATCACCTGTCGTCCCGTTGATCATCGATTTCCTCGAG